AGTACAAAACAATTCCATAACAATATAAAAAAAAGATACAAAAGATTTAAAATGAAAGGCAGCAGAAAGAAAAAAAAAAATCTTATTATATCTGCCCCTTTTTGGGTTTTGTTTATTGCATTTATGATTCAATGCAATAAAATAAACAAATTTAAAAGGCAACAGATCACTGTAAAACTTGGTTTAGTTACATTAAGACTTTAAGTGCTGGATGTCCGGCCCCTGAGCAGTTTAGCTGAATAGCTCTGGTCTATACAGTAGGTGTAAAGTGGAGGGTGGTGCGTGCAGCGCTCTCCTCCAACTAACAGTGCTGCTGCCACTTCACTGGTTCTGCAAAGCCGGCGCCCACATTGTCACAGAACTCAGATAGCTTTATTCACTCATGTGTGAACACAAGCAGGATCATGTCTGTGGCCACATCACTGAACCAAGGTGAAAGAAGCTTTTGGCCTCTTCACTCTCCAAATGGCAACACAATCCAGGAGCACAGGAAACAAGTTCAATTCAAGTCCATCCAACTTGCAAATTACAAAACTTAAAGTGTCTTTCACCGATGACTTGGTGCTAGATACCTTCAGGGGTCTGAAACCTTGAAGGAGGCTCTTGGACTGCAGCAGTTTAGTCACAATGCTATGGCTGATCATGTTAGAAGTGTGTCTCATAGTCAAGAATTTAATTTATAAAGTCTGATTTTATATAGTAAACACATTTGTGATGATTGAGGAGTGCATAAAATCTTCCTGACATTTAAACTCTAATAAAAGCAATAAAACATCTTGGAGGGCTCAGGTTATATCCACCGAAAAGGACTCATTTGTAGCCGTATCAAATTAAAGCTTTCAATTACTCGGTAAATACCTAATCACACAGAGCACATCGCTGGAGACATCTTATCAGAGTGACCAGTAATTTTATTACAGAGGCGAGGCTCCGACATGCTGCCGACTGACAGCAGAATGCTAATCTGCTAATTAACTTCAACTGATACTAAGAGCCGTGCTTTCATGTCTCCAGTCTTTCAGACAAGTGACGGCCATTGCTGCGACTCACCACTGTGCGTGGAAGATGCCGTAGAAGGTGGTGCCCCGCCAGTCCTGCCCCGGCAGGGTGAAGACGGCCCGCAGGTTGTTGAAGGAGACGTGGCGCTCTGGGAGGGAGCACTCCAGCCGGGCTTTTTGAAAGGTGGTCCACTTCTTCTGCAGAGTTCTGGTACCGCCCAGGTCGCCCTGAAGAGAACACAGATCAGATCAGATAAACAACTTTATCTGTCCTCCTTCTTTTCCAACCTGTACTTTAGTACTTCTGAGCAGGAGTGCTGCTGACTTTCAGACTCCTGCTAACGTTTGACAAAGTTTCCACGTTTTTAAAGACTCACACACTCACAGGTAACTGAGCTGTTCAAATTATAACACAACGTTCTCTGAAGCCATGTGGGAAAATCAGAGTTTAGCGCAGAGGTTAGAGAAGGTGGGCCTGTAATCGGAAGGTCGCCGGTTTGACTCCCTCTACCATCCATCCATTCTCTTTTACCTGCTTCTTTCTTTTCAGGTCACAGGGGTCACTGGTGCCCATGTCCAGCCATCACTGTGTGAGAGGCGGGGGACACCTTGGACGGGTCTCCAGTCCATCACAGGGACACATAGAGACAAACAACCATTCACTCTCTCAGTCACACCTAGAGACAATTTAGAGTTACCAATCAGTCTAACATGCATGTTTTTGGTCTGTGGGAGGAAACCGGAGTACCCGGAGAAAATCCACGCATGCACCGAGAGAACATGCAAACTCCACCCAGAAAGGCCCCCCGCCGGGATGTGAACCAGCAACCTTCTTTTTGAGAGGCAACAGCTCTATCAACTGAACCACCACCTGACTCTCTGGACCGACAACATCAAAATGTGGGTGAAAAAGATGAAGTACCCACACCTGCCTCCACCCTCATTTGTCCACTGTGGGTCCTTGAGCAAGGCCATTAACCCCCACCATCTGCTCCCCTGGGTGCCCTAGATAGCAGCTCTCTGCTCCACTCAGAGGGCAGTGGTAGCTCGCTGGTCTGTGGTTGTGTCAGGAAGAACATCTGGTGTAAAAATAACTGCCAAGTCTTCACGTGAGTTAGTTCGACGTGGCGGCTCCTGAAGAAGGGAGCAGCCGAAAGAAGAAAATAAAATAAAATGTGGGAAAATCAGATTATTGCAGTTTGGTTTTCTATTTCTTGTCTGCATGTATGACATAAGTGTTGTCAAATTAAACTACAAAAATTGCATTTTCTCGGGAAATGCAGCATGAATGATGATCGTTGGAATAACATTTAAGATTTGCTAAAAATTAGCCGTGAGTGGTTTCAGCTAAATGAAAACAGAACACTAGCCAAAATCTAAAAGAAAAAAACATTAGATAAAAGCTCAAAGAAGCCAAACACTGGCTACTGAATATTTAAACTATAACTCAACTACATGCTAAAGTATCACATGGCTAGTTGAATCTAAAAGTAGCAAAAGAAGTACAATTTGAAAGCACAGAAAAGATCTCGATGTATTTCACTTGGTAAAATATTTGTAAATGGAATGAAAATTTGTTCAAACTAAACGCCGTGCACCCGTCTCCTGACTGAGATGAACATTTTGATAGCTGATAGGCTAAAATAGCACAAAGTATTCAGAAGCAGTAGGTAGAAAGAAACTCTAGATTGTAAAAAAAAAAAAAAAATTGAATATAGACACATTACGGTCTTTAATCTAATAAGATAAAAAAATTTAAAAGACAGATTTAATTAGTTTTTGGACAATAAACTCTCTAAACCTGACAGATTAACCATCCCAACATTCTGAGCTGAACGGGGTTCGCAGTATGTCTTTAACTCGCGGTCCTTTCTGTTCATCTCCGCTGAAGCTCGTCATATTTCACGCACATTTAACTGGCCTCACCTTCACCCCTTAAATGAAATATATAATCATCTTTATGCTCACTCTTTTATCTGTTCGGTAATAAATTTGTTCAATGTGCCCTTGCTAAACGAACTGTTGTAATGTCGTGAAGGAGCTCCTGGGTTCATTTAGACTCTGGTATTTTCAAGTTTGGGATAAAAGATAAAAAGGAAAAATAATGAAATCCAGCTAAGAAAAGCAGGTGCCTTATTATTCCTGCTCAAAGGGGACTTATTTGATGAATTCCTCCTCCTGCTGTCATCCATGGTCACAGATGCAGGTGAAAATAGTTCTATCACAACAATAAGACACCGCGCCGCTGCAGCACTTGCGCTACGAGCGCCATCATCAGTGCACGTTAAACGTGAGCATCTGTTTGTGAAATACTTGGAGGTGTTTCACTGACCATCACAACAAAAGGACTCTTAATTACACGTGTCTCCACAAACACAACAAAAAGCTCTTCTAGTGTGTGGCCCTAACGACCCAATCAGTTGTCTTAATGAGGCAATTTATTTAGCAAATTAATCATTAATTACCAAATATATCTGTGTCATTTTAATTGTCTGCACATAACACAGCATCAGTAATGATGCAATGAGCTGAGTTTGTGTTGTTCTTGCAGCCGTGGGTCACAATCAATCTAAAAGCAGCTACTTTCTTAATGCCAACAAATGCCCTGCCATAATTCTGATATTCAGGTTGTTGCTCGTTTCTTTTTCTGCCGTCCTCATTATGCAGTGGTTTATAAACAGAGCTATGTGTTTAATTTAACATTATTTCATGGTTTCATGGTAAATTCTTTATATCTCAGTGTGGAAAAGAAAAAAAAACTTTCCAAGTTAAAACTTTAAATTGGATCATAAACGTTACGGCTGGGGGAAAAACGTCTTATTTTTATGATTTCAAAGAGTTCTGCTTTTATCTTCTTCAAATATGCATGCTCTTTGCTGTTGCAACTTCTTAAACTAACAAAATAAAGAGAAATTGGGTTCATTTAGCTTTAGAAGATACACTGGAGTGTTTCAGTCATGATCCAGAGTGTTGTCTTTGTGTTATTGTGTTGTATTATGCACATATTTTTCCTGCGCTGAGTATATTTCAGTTTACACGCTTGATATTTTAATACTAAACCAAATGTCACAACTTTCTTTTGGAGTCCGACAACAGCTGGACACAGGTTTTGGGAGCTAAAATGTAGTTTTGGGACTAGAGTCCGTGCACTACCAATCTAGGGCTTTTAGTCTCACCTACGCCCCCAACCCAATCATGGTGTCACATGACCTTTCGTTTAAGCATGGACAAAGTAATTACAGCTAAACTTATTTACCTATACAAGAATTGCATAGTTGAAAATACAGCAGGCTATGTTCACACTGTGAGTAAAAGTATCAGACTTTCAAATCCAAACCTGGACTTTTTCATATGTGGTAATAAACCAGATGTATATCCTATGCTTTGCAAAGTGACCTCAGTTTGACCAGTTGTATAGTATTTCATCTGACGGTTAAGCTACAGAGTATGTGGATCAACCCATACATTGATATTATTAATACCAACGTCATGCATTTTAAAGCTTGGAACTGTAGACATGTTCAGCTAAAGAACAGAAGTTCATTTGGCATGACCAGAGCAACATACGATACGAACACTGGTGTTGGATCGTATGGATACAAACTCGATGGCATCAATACGTGAGTTTGTTTCATGTTCAGTAAGACACAACCATTTCAGAAGTACAATTCTGTGCCAAAGTAGCTGCAAATATAAACACTGGACAAAACAAGTACAACAGATAATACCTTAAACAAAATTCACAGAGTTTTAATTCAGTAAATCCTGAAACTCCAGGATATATTTCAGTCACATGAAACCCTCAGAACTTATCATCTTAAGTGGTGGGCAGAGTCCAACTCAGAATCTAGTGTAGCCTACAGTTTGTGCATACAGCAATAATTCCTCATCATTATTTACATTGCATAACATCAGATTCCAATGAAGCCACCATAGCCAATCAGTAAGGATACATGTACTATTTAAACTGTAGAAACAACACAGACTCATTGACACTAGAATACTAGAACTGATACATGAACACGTCAAAATCTCAGAAAGGTCATCTTTTAATCAGCAGATCAGTGTTCAAAATCTGCATTTTCCCTGTCTGAAAAATATGAAAGTCATTGTATAAGTTTTCCCTGAATCCCAAAGTCGGTGGGAACTCTGCATTGCATGTGTCACATTCATATTTACTTCTGTAAACACAGCGAGCCGCCTGTGACGAGACGTCTTCTTTGGTGCAAGTGGGTCGCTTCAGGGCCATGGACTGTTCATGAGACTGATGGCGCTCACATTTAACATATGACGTGAATGGTCACGCTAAAAAATCAGAGCTGTCCAAAAATATTGGAGTTAAGCATGATAACCTGCAGGGTGAGCATAGTCATAGAACTAAGTAAATCAGCAAGAGTCAGCATCAAAAGGGAGTTTTTTATTTTATTTTCCCTAAATTACCAAAGGTGATGTTCCTTTCGTCTACATGGAGGGGTCAGGACTCAAATCTTGTACTGGACCCAGTTGGCAGGGAAGGTGGGTCCTGATTCCAGCTTCAACTCCTGAATTCTTATTGGAGAAGACCTCCATTATATGTAGACCTTGCGTTTGTCTTAACCCATTGGCAGCAAAAATATTTGTCACGTGGAGGGAATACACAAGTGGTGATGGTTGGGGGGCGGGGGTCCAGGGGCCCTCCCCCAGGAAATTTTTTATAAAGTAGATGCCATTTCTGGTGTATTTTAATGGGTTTCTAAACATCCACATTTACCTAGACAAGTAAACACTTCATTCATTAACTATTTTAGAGAGCACAACACAACAAGAATTAACCTGACCAACAGCCCTCCTTGTGTGAATGGAGCAAGCTCCGCTTCTCTTAAGCATCCTACCCCACACACATCCTGGCCCGTTGGACAAATGTGGCACTAACGTAGCTCTAAGCTAGCGAGCAACACAGTGGTGTGCCAACCCCACCCCCCACCCTGGTGAGTGTCCTGCTAAGGCAGATGACCTTGGAGAAACAGTGCATGCAGGGTGGAGTTGTTGTAGGCAACCAGGAAAACCTGGAGTGGACTTTTAGTGGTTTGAGTATTCTCCTATTTAATCAGGTGGAATGGATTTGTTCACGAAGAAATAGAAACAGTGCAGAGTGAACTAATATTTCATGGTAAATGTGGAGGGGTCCAAATGAATATATTTAAATGGGGGGAGACACATCCTCTTCACATATAATTATTGCAACACCTATGTCTTCACCTCACAGCTGCAGCTCATTTGCCCATTTAGTTCGCCTGCTCTTCATTCCAGCAATCACTCCTTCCTGGTGAAGTTGTCCTCGGCTTCACAAGTTCTGCGTTCCCTCCTGTGTGTCGAGTTGTTTTGTGCTCCTGTCCTGGTTTCTATTCAATTTTTCTTTCCATGTAGCCTTGCCAGACAATATCTTTATCTAAATTTCTCAGTTTTACTCCAGCGCCTGTCAACTGTGTCTGGGTCCACATCTTCAGCTTAACATGACAGTTTCCACTGTGATAAACTGGTGTACAGACTTTACTTATTCAGCTGGTAAATCTTTGCCAGTTGCTTCCTTGAATGAGCATCACCTGCTGAAGCCGCAGTTAGCAAATGCTGTCTCACATTATTAGGCTTTCAGGAACAGCTGCCAACACAGCTGGAGAACACAGAAAACAGCTGATTCCCTGCCAAGTGTGCACAAAATCAGGATTTTACAGTCGAATCTGTTATCTGTTATCTGAATATTCGCTTGAAGACTGGTTACTGTTCGAATCTGTGCCGTTCCCATTAATAACCTCCAGCGTGTGCGCAGCAGGGGAGTGAGGTTTGTTCTGACCCTCATCAGGCGGGTTACCTTGCAGACCCGGGCCACTCTGGCCACTGTGAGCTCCGTGTCGCAGTCCAGCTCCAACGCTCGCTCGCTGAAGAAGAAGTAGATCTTGTCGTCGTCCCCGTCTTTGCTGCCGCTGCTCTCCCGCACCAGGGCTGAACCCACAAAGTCCGGCTCTGCACACACACACACACACACACACAAATGCAAAAGTGTGTTTTTACGCAGTCGTTAAGACATAGATCACGAGTGAACAAAGACGATCTCAGCCTGCAGGACAGAATTACTCCTCTGCCTCCCTTCCTCCCCTCTTTGTCTGCTTTCTTTCATCAGTCTCCCTCGCCTCACCTCTTCACCAGTCGTTTCTCCCTTTCTTTCTCTGCAGCGCTCACTAATATTGATCCATTTTGGTTTTTCCACTTCCTCACCCACAGCTGTCGTTTTTTAAAGTCTGCGCATTCCTGCCTCATTAGGTTTTAGAAGTTCCTTCTTCATGCGCAGTCGAACAGTTTTAAACTTGAACAGTTTGGGGATTTAAAATGATTATCGTGCAAAAAGTACATCTCTATGATTTTATGATTCCCCAGATAGTCTGGTCATAACTCTACTGAAACCTGAACTGGGGAGGAGAGGGGTGGTGGTAGTGGGGGGTTTAGCTTCATTGCATGTCTGGTTTTAAATAAAACTCAGTATCTGCATGAATATTAAACAGAGATACCAGTCTAAACCTCTCTCTCATCTGTATGCTCCTCCATCCTCTCTCTATTCTCCTCACCTGTCTCTCTATCTTTTCATCACCAGCCCTAATGTCTAGTCTTTCATCACCCCCTTTCTCTGCCACAACTTCATCCTCTTCTCTCCCCTTCATATCTTCCGAGTGGCTCACTCCTTCCCAACGCCTCCTTCCTCCAACATATAATAATTCTTCAACATGGCTGTGGATCAATCTTCATATCCTGAAAGTTCTCCTGCTCTTACTGATTCCTCTGACTGAACGGATAAAATGGGCAGGTTTTGAACCTTTTCTGTTTTTAATTAACTAATAGGAGAGAGAGCACAGTGGTTTGGTTCTGAGAACCGATTCGGGTGAGGTTCTTAGCGAAACGAGTCACGCTAAAGACTTGACATCAGCAGAACGCAGATCGTTGATTGGCCAGAGAGAGATGTCAATCAAGAGAGCGTCTTCCTTCACCCGAATCAAATCCACCATTTTAAACACCTTGCAATCGCAGTGTTTGTTTTGTTATTTACTTGTAAAAACAAAAGAATAATATATACAATAAAATGGCAACACGTAAAACAACACCATGGTACTATAGAAGTGCAGACGTTATTGAGCTTGTTGGTTGACAAAACATCTCAGAAGGAGATAGACCAAATGGACTTGATTTACAGGCTCTGACTGGTGAAGTGAAGGTGGCCTCGACTCGGCAACAACATTTTTGAGTGATCGTGGGAGAGAATTGTAAGTTTTGTGACTTTATTTCACTTATTTACTTGTTGGTGCAGTCGTAGTGAGACAGAACAATGACTGAACAATTCTTTCTGTACATCTTTATTCCTTTGCCACCACTAAAACACAACCTAGCATTAGCTAATTGCTAGCTACAGTTGTGGCAACCATGTAGGTTTGTACGAGACAATTCTGTCACAGGAGACGTGCACGGTGTGCATTAATATTAACCCCCTCTCGAATTATTGCATTTTACTTCCATTGCATATTTCCCTCTGAATTTTTAGATGTCTTTAAATGTTTGTCCTAAAAATCTCACCAGGTGTCGTTTCTAACTCTAAACATTATTTAGTGCATCAAAGATAAAGTATGTCTAATATTTGTGGTAGCTAGCTGTTAGCTTTTGTACTGAAGTTGACAAACAGTAAATTAATCTTTTAGCAGAACTAAAAATTACTAATTCAAAACTAGGGAGGTCAGTCATAAAAAGTAACATTTATTTTACATCATTTGGTACTTATCTTTTTTATGTCCCCATGCATATATATTAGTAGTGTCCCGACTAGGCCTGTCATGATAACGAGTTTTGCTGAGCGATTAATTGTCTCAGAAATCCATCCATCCATTATCTTTTACCTGCTTCTTCCATTTTGGGTCACGGGGGTCGCCGGTGCCCATTGTCCAGCGATCACTGTGAGAGGGGCGGGGTACACCCTGGACGGGTTGCAAGTATATCTCAGGGCTGTCTCAGAAATTATTGCGATAAACGATAATATTGTTTGAAATTTTACAATAATTCTTAATTGTCAAATTTAAGAGGAAATGGTGGTTAATTTTGTGTGCAGTACTTTTTTTGACCACTGGATGGCAGCATACAACTGTTTGAACCAAAGGATGGATAGTGAGGGAGCGAGCTTCGTCTCTTTAAGAAAAACGGGATGGAGGCCCCTTGATGTGACATGGGCTGTCTCTCCTTCCTGTTTTTGGTTCTCAAAATGGCGGACGCTCGGTGGGGTTTGAGCTCTTTAGCATAGCATTTTTCACACAAAGCTTTTAATAAAAAATCAGTAAACAAGTTCTCAGCTTCTTTTTACAGATAAAAACAATTTTTAGATGAAAGCATGGGTTTCAGCCGTGAATCTTGGAGCTTCGACAAGACGGAGGGTTTTTTTTCCCAGAGGTTGGCCTGTTAGCTTAGCTCGTAGCTTAGCTTCTCAGCTTAGCTGCTTTTAAGAATCCCAAAATGTGATTTTGGACATTTAAAACAGATTTTAAAGAGAAAAGAGAAAGAGAGGGGTCAGTGAAGAGCACTGGAGTTGAGCCTTTATCATCCTGTTTCCAGTAGAAAGAGAGAGACACGAAGAAATGATAAAGCCGATAAATGAAAACGAGGTCAATAATTTTAATTTATCTTATCATTGCGACAGGCCTAGTCCCGACTCATACTTGAGGCTAGTATATTTTGCATAAAAACACTCCGATACGTTAGAACGATGCCACTTTCATGCTTGGTGACATCACTTCCTCTACTTTGCAGGTAACCCAGGACAAAAAGTAAAAATGGTGCGTAGTTTACAGATATTTTAATAGAAATACTGATGACATTAAAGCACAGACAGTTTGCTGTGTTCTTAATAAAATAATTGTGTTTCTAAAATCATTGTGTAATGTTTAAGCACTAACTCATTAACTACTTGGTAATGGCAAGTACCCAAACTGAAGTATAAGTACTTAATGGTAGTCTGAAAAAAAAAAAATACCGGTTAGGACACCTCTAATATAAGCGAGAGAAAGAGAGCGACACAGCAAGAGCGAGATGGACAGAGAGAGAGGGGGACAGACTCACACCCTTTCATTTGTCACGTCTTGTGTTTTTCTTACCGTTGAGCCAGGCGGGCAGGTACTCGCTCTTCATGTTGTAGTGCTGCTGGCCCAGGTTCCTGAGGATGACCGGCTCCGTACCCAGGAAGTTGTTTAGTGTTGCTGAGTACAGCTCCTTATCTGTTCGGGGTGCAAGCTTTACATTAACTCTGTGATTTTATTTGGAAACTTCCAGAGAGAGAAGGTTGACAGTTCAGCAGGGAGACAATAAAAAGACCCAGAGCCTGCAGGCTCAGTAACGCTGTGCACAGTGAAGTGAACGCAGCGTGAAACGTCAGATTGGACCTCTGGACCTCATGGCTACAAAACTGATGAGAAAATCCGCAAGAGCTGTTCGTGGAGATTTTATGATTCTTTTAAAGCTGCTTCATGTGGAGTTGTCAAAATGTTCCTGACTATAAATGATTATTTAACACCTTTTACTTCTAAAGAGCCAAACCTTGTTATAATAACTGAAAGCTTTATTGAGCTAAACTTGTACTTTTATTTAAAAGATGGAAATCAAACCTGTTGTAGAATAAATGTAAAATCACTGTTATCTTTGACATATTTTATAGCAGCAACTACATACAAGTTGTTTTTTGTCATTTTGCATTGATTTCTGTGCTGAGTTATTGTAGAAGAAGCACTGAACCATCCTGTACTGTGTATAAATATTTTTACTCACCCACTATGAGACCAGTGTGCCCCTTGGCGGGGTCGTAGGGACATTTGCCTTTGCCGTCCTCCAGAACAGCAGGGTTGAGAGAGAAGTCGTCTCCTTTCTGTGAGAACACACAAGTTTCAGAGAAACGATGAGGAACACAGGTGGTCCGCGGTCGGTTCGGATTATGACCCACATGACCGAGCTGCAAGCTCTGTTCGTTTGTTACAAGAACCCTTCGCCACAATGTCTCATCTTATCAGCGTAACATGCATATGTGCACCCCCCCCCACACACACACACTCTAACCCTGTGTGCTACGCTCATTTTCTATTGTGTTTATTTTCATTTTGTCACACAGCGGCTCTTTGGCCCCAGGTCAGATGTGTCAAACTGACACCTGTCAGCGCTGACTCGACATGGCTCCGTGCAGAAAACACACACACACACAAGTTTGTCTTTCTATCTTTACAGGAACTTCCATTCATTTTTAATTCATATCTATAGACTAACCCTGACCCTTACCTTAAACCTAACCATTGCCAGTACATACCTAACCCTAACCCACCAACGGCACTTCTTCTTATGGGGCTCGGACTTTGGGAATGCATGCACACACACACACACACACACACATGCACACACACACACATGCGTGCAGCCCACATGCATGAGGACTTACAATGTAGGTGCATTTGGGCTGGAAGGCGTAGGTGCCACAGGTGTAGAGGTGCGTGTGGTTGTAACTCTGCAGGAACCGGATGTAGTTGAAGCACTCGGTCTGTGAGGGGACAAGGAGGATCTGTCAGAAACATGTGGTCCTGGTCCAGAAGACATCTGGAAGCATTTTTGAATTTTGAATGCTCAATAGCTGCTGAAACTTGTCAAAGAAAAGCAGCTAAATCAATGCTAAAAGTAGCAAAACAGATGCTGAAGCTAAAACTAGTAAACCAAATGCGTATATGAACAAAACATTAGATACAAGTACGATAACAAATGCCAAAATTAGCAAAACATTAGCTGAAAATAGCAAAAGAAGCAAAAACTAAAATCAGCAAAATAGTAGCTAAAACTTGCATTGTTGTTGTTAAATGTCAGTTAAATAAAAGTAAAATATAGAAGAATGGTAGTTAAAAGCTAATTATACCAAAATGGTAGCTAAAACTTGGAAATAGAAGAATGGAAACTAGTCTAAAACAGCTAAATGCTAGTTGTACAACAATAAAGTAATAAGGTAAAATAAGCAAACATTTGCTAAAAGCTGAAAGGAGAAAAATGCTAGCTAAAAGAAGCAAAAAAAAAAAAAAAAATCTTGCTAAAAGCAACAAAAGGATGGTTCAAAGCAAAAAGCATCCAAAGATTAACTGAAGCTTTTAATTTGTAGACCTTTAGCTAGAAGCTAAACGTAGAAGAATAGCAGCTAAAAGTTGCAGAACAGTGCCTAAAACCTAAAAGTAGCATTAGAAGACACAATAGAGCAAGTACGCTGCAAGAGATTCTGAAGAGAACAATGTTATGGAAAGAACTTAAAGAGATCTTAATGTATTTTCTTGGGTAAATTATTTGTATATAAAGTTTTATCATTTGAAAATTGGAAAAAATGCAAAAGACAAAACATGGGACTGATTAAAGAAAAATAGCCATGAATATAAAAGTAATTAGAGTAGTTAGTTTGCAAAATAATTACCAAAATAAATAAAATAAAAACAACAACAAAAAGATAAAAAACAAAAAACATATCTGAAGTTTCTGAATGGACCTTCATTTTGTTTCTATAGGGAATTATCAATTTAGTTCATGTTAAATACTTTGAAAAGTATAAAAGTTACAAAAACAGACGTTTCACACATTAATCTTGACTGAGCTGAACATTTTGAAGCATGAAAGTTAAGACAGCAGAAGTTATATTATATAACAGAGATATATTGGATTATATGGCCAATGGTGTTGTTTTCAAAGTGCTTTATAAAAAAGGTTGTATTGTATATGGAGGACATTTGGTTGCAAAAAGCACACAGAAGGAACTTCAAACAGGAACACAATCGTGTGAGCGCTAGAGCTGTCATTTCTAACACAGGCCCAAAGCCATGGTAATGTGCTGAATGGACGGGCTTTTGATAGCGTGAGCGGATCAGCCGCAATTCAATTATATGGCAACATGGCTTGTCATAAAATCCAACTTTATGGCAACATGGCTTGCCATAAAATTCAATTAAATGACAACATGGCTTGCCATAAAATCCAAGTATATGGCAACAACATGGCTTGCCATAAAATCCAATTCTATGACAACATTGCTTGCCATAAAATCCAATTATATGGCAACAACACGGCTTGCCATAAAATCCAATTATATGAAAACATTGCTTGCCATATAATCCAATTATATGGCAACATGGCTTGCCATAAAATCCAATTCTATGACAACATTTAATGCTCTTTGACGGCCATGAAAGGACAAACACCCCCTCAGCGCTGATCTTCTGCCTCTTGTTCAGCTGCGCTTCACCGCGATAGTTAGTTTTATGTTGGACGTTGGACATTCGAGCTCCGTGGCTTCAGCTGTGTCTCTTGTTCCATCCAATGCAGGCAGTCTGATTTCAGTCAGCCGAACTCAAACGAGAGGAACACACCGCTGAAGCCACGGAGCTCATATGTCCAACGTCCAATGTAAAACTAACTTTACCGCGGTCCACGCGTCCACCGACCGTTATTGACTATATAAGCAGTCCAAGTGTAATTAAAAATGTCTGTGGGGTTTCAGATTCTGACCTGTGATTACTATTAATTTGTCGGGCCGGGTGGGGTTTGGAAATGATGGCAACGGGCAGGGGCCAGGTCTGGTCGGAATTTTTTGGCCCGAATGCAACTCTACTGAGCGCTGAAGAGTCCAGCACGTGAACTTTCTTTAAGCCTAACTGAACAACTAAAGTCCACTAGATCACATTTGGCAATACTTTTTTTAATTGTTTGCATTAGAACATGGAATTCCTGTTAGTTTTCATGTGCTCGAAACGTGCCCACAGAACCGGGCCAGGACCTCTGCCTCGTATTGATCGCATCACTTAACAGACGACGCTGTGACAAATGATCCAAATAATCTAAAGTGAACAAGAAAAGTGGCAGACAGGGCCAGACAATAATTAACGTAATAATTTATGCAGCGCTTTATGAGAAGTGCCCTTTAATGTCTGCACTGTGATGAAGAAGAAGGCTCTTTGAGCGGAAATGGAAACAGACGCGATGCGTACAATATGAATGAATAATTCAGAGCCTCTAGTTAATGCGAGCACTGCCAGAGCAGGCCACACATGTCAACAATATGTAGAAATAAATATAAAATAGCACCAGTACACGCTGCAGGCACTGTCATACTGTTTAATAAAGGTATATTTTGTTATTTGATTAAAATGTATGTGAACAACACACTCAATGTTCTGGACAAAGCCCACCGTGCTGTTTCTAAAATCAAAGCCGTTGTTTTTCGGATGATGGAATCCGCAACAACTTTTAGTAACTACAGCGTATTTCAGAGCTCCACCTAAACTTCACGTCTATTTTATTTGCTTTTTTTGGCATTCGTTCCAAACTGCTGCTCTCTTTCTGCTGAGAGCCACATCAAAAGTTACTGCGGTGCGTTTGGAGCCAAAGCTCTGCAAGTTTCTATAAAATATTTACTGCAGACGTCTCGGACATGGACAGCATGCAAGCTAAGCAGATGGAGGACGTCGCTGAGGCGTAAGTGCAGAGTTGGCTGGAGTCAGTTCTCTGTTGGTGTCAGCTGATGGACCACAGCCGATGGGAGAGCTGGAAGACACTGAACCTTTATTTATTATCACCCACCGCCATGACAGCAGGGCGATCTTATAATGAATGCGTCTTTGTGTGAGTGCATTTGTTTGTCTGCCTGTTAGCAAACTGTCATAACCTGGAAGGCTTTTATTAAAACCCTCAGCTGAACATCTACAGCTGGATAATGTTTGGAGTCCACCCAGCTGAACACGACAGCTACAGCTACTCTAGCCTAGCCAACACTAAAGAAGCTATAACTCAATCGACTTTAGAGAAATTGAGCTAATATTTGGTGCGATAGTAGCTGAAAGTCACCCTGATCACATATTCTAAGCACCGGTAGATCGCATGAAATGTTCTATCAATTTTGGCATCAACCCCGTTGATCTGTTAGCAAAATATCACAAATCATTAAATGTATTTTAATGAAACTCACAGAACTGAATAATTGAATGTAAATTTACAACTGGTCAGCTTTTGAGGTCAATCCCATTCAAGAAGGCCTTCACAGCGAACTAACCTTATCAAACATGAGCATGGCTACAACACATTCAGTCGTATTAATATTATCGGAGTAGAATGAGTAGAATGAGCAGACTGTGGCATTATAGATGTAGACATATAGACATGTGATGTCTGAGAGTCATTAAAGACTGCCTGCACATTTTGACTTTATGTTATTTCTCTATTCTACTAAATGTTGTTGTTTGTAACACGAAAGCTGATGACTTAAAAAAAATTATATACGTTTATTACATTTTTCACATACGGGCGTCACCAATGTGTTACAAGCATAATGTTATATATATATATATATATATATATATATATCTCCCCCCCCCCGGGCTATCCTATCCGTAAGATCGGAAGAGCGGCGTGTAGG